TGTGTGTGTGTGTGTGTGTGTGTGTGTGTGTGTTCAAGGAAGGAGTAGAAGATTTATAGCACAATTTCATTTATGTAAATTGGAATCACGTGTACACACAAAGTCACAAGTTATAAAGGTGCATCTTTGCCGCTATATATCAAGTGCATTAAAGTGGGTATCAGTGAGGGGGAGGGGCCAGAATGGGAATTGGGGGTGGGGGTCACACCTTAGAGGGTCTTTTATGGACCAATTGTGATGCCGTGCTATGAGCGGAACAGTATGATTCATAACTTTCTGCAGCTAAGGATGAGAAAGAAAAGAAATAAAAGAACGGAAAATATGAGGGTGCCTGCACATCAGAACAATTTCTCCCCTGCTACGCGATTGTTATTATCCCAGGCTGACAACAAGCACAGCAGTCAGACTCTGCCCCTGCTCTCCTCACTCCTGCCACCCCCCCGGAAGTCTCCATCTGTGCCAGGCTATCCGGAGGGAGCTGGGCACCTGCTACGGCACTTTGACAGCACGTGCAACAGGGTGAGCACACAGCCCAGCCCCGTCATTTCTTCCCCAGGCCTCACTTATATCATCCAGCGGGGATGACCAGGGTATTAGTCTGGATCCTCTAGAGGACAAAAGCTTAGCATATACAGGCATGCACCTGCCTAACAGTGATTTGGTCAGTGACAGACCACATTCGCAATGTGATCTCATAAGATTATATTGCTTGCCTGGCGGACAGTGCACACCTGCAATCCCAGCACTCGAGAGGCTGAGGCAGAAGGAATTGGGCCACGTAGTGAGGCAGTGGCCTCAAAAAAAATTTGTAACAGTGGACCCCCGAGTTACTACCAGCCTGACAATCAAACAACTTGGGTTACAGCTGGAATTTTAGTTTTAACTTGCAAACAAAGTATTGAGTTACGACAGAATGCCAGCCACTTATGCTCCCAGATGGTCTCAGTTACAGAACCCTTACAGAGTTCGGAAAGGAATACTACTATATCGTTTCCTGTGTGGGGTTAATTGACAAATCCTGGACCAATGTCTCTCTAAGGATACTGAGATCTGCCTGTAGAGGGAGAGAGACTTTGTTTTTTTTTTTGTTTTTGTTTTTGTTTTTTTGAGACAGGGTCTCTCTATGTAGTTGAGACTGACCTGGAACTCACTATGTAGCCCAGGCTGGTCTTGAATTCACAGTGCTCCTCCTGCCTCAGCCTCCCAAGTGCTAGGATTACAGGCATGCACCACCACACCCGGCTAAGAGAGAGACTTTGAAGGCTGTGTAGAGGAGCCTGAGCCTTCAGTTGACCAACTTAAGTTATAACCAGCCCTCACGAAGGAATTGAGTTCATAAATCAAAGATCCGCCATATTCCCTGGTTCCTCATTGAAGGCACCTTAGTTTTTGCAAGTACACACTAGGATGTTCACACAACAAAACAAATTAGCAATTCATCTCTTGGAATGTAGCCCTGTCATTACGTGACACATGTCTACGGACAGGAGAGCTGTCTATTATGGGAATACACCGGTGGTTCCTATGATTATACAGAGGCTGAGGAGTCCCACAGGCCATCTGCAAACTGGAGAAACAGGGGTGCTGCTGACACTGTAGTAGCTTAATTTAGTTATTATAAATAGACGGAGAAGCCTGAGATAAGGATGGATGGAAGAGCAGCCAGTTAAGCTTAGAATTGTAAAAGAAAATAGCCCAGGTAGGTTAAGAAATAGCACAAGCAGCTAAACCAAACTTGGAGATGAAAAGGTAAACAACAAAAAAAGGCTGTGATGGGAAAAGAGATAGCTAGAACTCTTCCCTCCAGGACTGACTCAGCCACACGCGTTAAACTTTAACAGGTCCCCTTACCTCCAGGGCCTGAAGGGAACAGATATGCCAGGTAAACCGTTTTCTTTTTGAACTTTTGAATTTCAGCCCCTTCGGCTCTCTACCTATATATAAGCTGAGGTAAAGAAAACATAACTGTACTTTCTCTCCCCTCTTGGGTATCCAAACTTTTTTCTTATCTTTTCTAATGAGCACTCTCTTAAATTCTTCCTTTTGTCCTCAGATTTATTCCTCATTGTTCAGAGACAAAAGGAACTGTTTCAACATTGTTAAGTCAGAGTCAAAAGGTCTCAGAATCAGGGAAGCCCATGCAAAGGGGCCCAGGAACCTGAGGGTGGAGAGAGTAACCAACGGTTTATGTCCCAGGATCCAAAGACCAGAAAACATGGAGCACTGATGTCCATGGACAGGAGAAGGTGCCCTCCTTGGCAGAGGGAATGTGAATTTCCCTTTCCTCTGTCTTCTCCCTCCCTGCCCAGTGCTGAGGATTGAACCCAGAGCTTTTGGATTCATCCCCAGCCCATTTTTGGTTTTGTTTTTATTTTGAAACAAGGTCTCACTAAGCTGCCTAGGCTAGACTCAAACATGTGACCCTCCTGCCTCAGCCTCCCCAAATGCCAGGAACATTTTTAAATGAATAGCAGAAGCTCCCTCTCTGTCAGTCAGGTGGCTTCATCCACACACTCCAGACATATACTATGAGAGTCCCCAGTCACATCCTGTCCCTCACCTTAGCCTCAGTGGTGGGCTGAGCAAGGTAAAGGCTGCTGAGGGAGTCCTAGGAGAGATTTTAGAGACTCTCAGGATTGAATTTCAGTTTCTCTTTCCAGGCTCACCCGGGCACGCCCACACTGGCTCACAACCTGGCCCCACCCGCCCATGCCCTTCTAAGTCAAAGTGAAGATTCACTTTTCACTTTGCTGATTTCACTTTAGACACATCAGCGGACGACTGCATGCTCAGCCTGGACCCAAGCCATGGAGATGCCGCTGGGGAGACCCTCGCCACCTAGTCATGGCCACCACGATCTCTGTGTGGCTCCCGGTGGCTATGGCGCTGGGCTGGGCCCCAACAGGCCCTGTCCCCACTGCCGAGCCTACCTCAGCCGGGACAGACTGCCACCTTGAGACATTCTATCTGTCACCACGTGAGATGGAGGCCTTCAAGAAGGCGAGGGATGCCTTGGTGTGTGCCTGTGGCTATGAGAGAAACCCCACCCGGCTGCTGCGGCCAGACTGCTGGCCTGTGGACTAACATCTGCCCATTCCTGCCACCGCCCTATGGTGAGAGATTGAGAAAGACAAAGATATAATGAGGTTTAGGTGGGGCCTTGTGGAGCTCTAAGTCTTGATGGGAGGAAAAGACCCCAGGCAAATGGCTGCAGGTTTATTTACAGCGGTGGAGATAGGGGAAGTGCAGGGGGAGGTGAAAGGGGCTGGTCTGTAACCAAGGCAGCCTCGCGTCTGACATTTCTCTGGCGAACAGGTGGGAAGGAAGACAGTCCTTCACCTTTGTGCTCCGCCACACCCTCTTGTCTGCCGCCTGTCCTCCTCCCACGGAGTTAGGCCTGGCCCTAGCGCTCCCAGCACGTGCTGCTGTGGGACAGCCTCTGGCCTTCCTCCGTGACTAACCTCCGTCTTCCTGCTGCTGGTTCAACTTGAACCCTCCTGCCAGGTCAACCTGCTTGCTCGCTGCCGTGGGTGAGCTCAGCGCACCCTGCTATCTAGGAAAAGGACCTCCTGCTGAAGGTGCGGCTGCCCGCTCTTCCCCGGAGCCTGGGGCCTGCGGCAGCTGCGGGTGAGTCAGAAGTCACCTTTGCCTTGCCCTGACCTTGCCCCCCTCCCGAGCCTCCTCCAATGGCCCCTGGCCGTCTCCCTGCTGGTCCCACTTTCTATCCTGTCCCTCTTACTTCCACGTGATCTTGATCCTTCTCCTCTTGCTCTTCTGTCCTCTCCCTATGGCCCATCTGTTCCCAACCTGGGCCCCTGTCCTGCTCTACACTTATCCCCTCTGCCCTCCCCATCCCTCTCCCCACACCTTAGCCCTGTTTTTTGTTTGTTTGTTTGTTTGTTTGTTTGTCTGGGGGGGTTGTACCAGGAATCGAACTCACTTGTCAGGCATGTGCTGCGCGGCTGAGCTACGTCCCCGCCCGAGGACCTGCTCACCGCCTTCCCCCCCTGCCCTCCCCACGCAGCAACTGTCCCCTCCCTGCCCCCCAGCCTGTTCTCTTCTTGCCCGTGCCCATGCCCTGTCCCGTCAGGCCTCTGTTACCCTCACCTGACCCCATTTCACTTTTCCCCTCACCTGCCCTTGTCTTTCCGCCTCACCCACATCTCTCCACCTGTACCTTCCTCCCGCCCCCCTCCTGTCCCCTCACCTGTCCATCACCTGTCCCATGTCACTTGCCCTCCTCCGCATACTCCCCACCTCATCCCACCTCCTGAGCCTTCCTGCCTCTCTTTCCTCACCTGCCTCCCCTCACCTGGTCTGTCTCACCTCTCCAGGTGTGGGAGCGCCCCGTGGCCCTGCAGGCTGAGCTCGCCCTGACTGACACTGGAGGTCCTGGGCTCCGTGACAGACCCGGCCCTGGAGGACGTCCTGGAGCAGCCCCTCCGCACACTGGCGCACATCCACGCCCAGCTGCGGGCCTGTGTGAGTGCCCGGGTCCCAGTGCCCCTCATGGGCTCTGAACCCCGCCCTTCCCTGTGTGCAGGCCCAGCTCACAGCGCCCTCTCTGCCCCCAGGTCCTGGCTCAGCCCACAGCAGCCCCCAGGATCTACAGCCACCCCCTGTTCCGATGGCTGCAGAGGCTCAACCAGGCCACCAAGAAGGTGAGGGAGCAGGAGGGTTGATGTCTGGGCCATCAGGGGACCAGACCCTGGACAGCCCCTGAGCCCTCTCTCTGACTCCCCACAGGAGTCCCCTATCTGCCTCCAGACCTCTGTCACCTTCGGCCTCTTCCGCCTGCTCATCCGGGACCTGAGATGTGTGGCCAGGCCGGAGCTGTGTGCCTGAGAATGTGCGCTGCCTCTGCCTCCTGAGGCCCCACACTATTTATGCACTAACCCTTGCCCCGACTCAAGTCACTTGCTCTCCCTCCTTGTTTATGGAGCTGCAGCCCTGACTCAGACCCAGAGCTGAGTTTATTTTTTTATACTTTTTTATTTTTATACAATGTGTACAAATAAAAAACACAGGCTTGGACCCTTCTGTGGCCAGGGAATCCTTGAGTGTGTGCACGTTGGTGACTGAGGGTCAATGTCCACGTTCATAGGCAGGATTCATGGCTGGTGGTGCACACCTGCGTGCCCAATGTGTGTGACCGTGTGTCCGCTAGGGACGTGGAATGTCCTCCAAAGGCCTGTGTGTGGCAGGCTTGGTCCCCAGTGCAGCAGAGTTCAGAGGTGGGGCCTTGGGGAGGTGGTTGGGCCTTGAGAGCTCTGATCTCACCAGTGGCTTAATCCACTGATGGGTCCGTACTCTGATGGGCTATTGGGAGGTGCTGGAGACCTAGGAGGTGGGGTGAGTTACAGGGAAGGACTTGGGCTTCTTCCTTGTCCCCAGCCTCCCCTCCTCTCCCCTCCCCTCCTCTCCTCTCCCTTTCTCCCTCCCCACCCCTTCCTGGCTGCCATGAGGTGAACAGCTTTGCTCCACACATGCTCTCCACCATGAGATTTGTCTTTGTCCCAGGCCAAAAGCCATAGAGCTAAGCAACCATGGACTGAAACCTCTGAAGTCATGAGCCAAAATAAATCTTACCTCCTTTTGGTTGATTTTCCCAGGGATTTTGTCACAGCGATAGAAAACGAAGACAATATCCAAATCTAACCAAAGTTGTGTAGCTGTGCACATTTATGCCATATGGATGCAAGTATGCATTTATGGACATGTTTATATGTGTTTGTTTGAATTGTATATTTCTCTTTGTCATGTGTACCTAGGACAGGATGGGGTCTATATCCCTCAGGATGCTTTATTCTAAGTAATCAGAAAATGCAAATGGTCAAAGTAAAAATGATTTTATAATTCCACACAAGCAAAAAATCAGCTGGCAGAGTAGGTCTAGGACTAGTTAATTCATTCATGCAACAGTTCATTCATTCAATAACATGCTGGGGAAACCAAATCCTCTCTATTTCTATTGGCTGACTCATATTGTGCCTACCTCATGATCCCAAGATGGCAGCCATAGCTCCAGCTCTTCTACATAAACAACTTCCAAGTCATAACAAACCACTCCAAACTCAGTGGAGCAAAATAGCAACTATCTTATTATTATGCTCACAAGACCCAGCATGGATAATTTGCCTCAGCTCTACAACATCCAAGGCCTCACATCTTCATCTACACTTTTTAAAATGGTGTTTCACACTTATATATGCTGGACAAGTGCTCTACCACTGACCTACATCCCAAGCCCCACTTCTTTACTTATTAGAAACAAGGAAGCAGACGTAGTCAACTATTTGACCTTTGACAAAGAGGCAAAAAACACACACCACAGGAAACATAGCCTCTTTAATAAGTGGTGCTGGGAAATTGGCTACCCATATGCAGAAAATTGAGTCTAGACTCATATATCTCATCATGCACTATACTAAAATAAAAATGGATCAAAATCTAAATATTGGGCTGGGGATTTAGCTCAGTGGTTCTGGTGCCTGCCTCACAAGCATAAGGACCTGAATTCAATCCCTGTACCAAAAAAAAAAAAAAAATCTAAATATCAAAACAAAAATGCTTAATCTGCTAGAAGATAAAATAGGCACAGGCAAGGACTTTCCAAAAAGAACCCCAATGGCACAAGAAATAATACAGAGAAAAAATGTAACAAAAAAAAAAAAAAAAAAAAATCTAAATATCAAAACAAAAATGCTTAATCTGCTAGAAGATAAAATAGGCACAGGCAAGGACTTTCCAAAAAGAACCCCAATGGCACAAGAAATAATACAGAGAAAAAATGAGATCACATCAAATGAAAAAGCTTGTGCATAGCAAAGAATACAGCCAATGGAGTGAAAAGACAATTTATAGAATGGGAAAAAATTTGCCAGCCCTTCCTCAGATAGTGGAATAACATCTAGAGTATATAAAGAACTCAAAATATTAGACTTCCCAGGGCCAGAAATTTAGCTCAATACACCGAGCCTGCCTCCTAAGCGCAAGGTCCTGAGTTTGATCCCCAGTACCAAAACGACAAACAATTAGACCTCCCAAAATAAAAGGCCCAATCAAAAAATGGGTAAGTGGGCTGGAGATTTAGCTCAGTGGCACTGCACCTGGCTTACATGTGAAAGGTTCTGAGTTACATCCTGGTACCACCAAAAAAAGGGGGGGGGCAAATAAAATAGACCCTTCTCAGAAGAAGTACAGATAACCAATAAATACAGGAAAAAATGTTCAGCATTGCTGGCCATTAAAGAAACGTGAATTAACCAGGTGTGGTGGTGCATTCCTGTAATCCCAACACTTGAGACGCTGAGTCAGGAGGATTGTTGAAAGTTTGAGGCTAGCCATGATTATATAGTGAGTTCAAGGCTGTCCTGAACTACACAGCAAGACCCTGTGTCAAAAGACAGAAAGAAAGAAAGAAAAGGAAAGAGAGAGAATTTTAAAAACATGAGATTCCATCTTACTCCAGAAAGAATGGCTGTCGTCAAGAAATCAAATAACAAATGCTGGTGAGGATGCAGGAAAAAAGGAACCTTTCTACATTGTTGGTGAGAATGTAAACCAGTATAACCACTATGGAGATGATTATGGTAATTCGCCAAAAACTAAAAATAGAAATTCCATTTGACCCAGCTATTTCCTTTCTAGATATTTCCCAAAGGAGTTAGAGACATCATATTGCAGGAAGGCATGCACACCCATGTTTATATAAGCTCAGTTTATAATAGCTAAATCTTGGAAATGGCCTACATGTTCATAAACAGATAAATGGATAAGCAAAATGTATTTATACACAATGGAGTATTACTGTGCCATAAAGAAGGATAACTTGAGTCCTTTGGGCAACCCATGCAGAACCCCTCCTATCCTTCAGGAGCTATTCCTGTTCCCCAATAAACCATTCCTACTCTTAACCTCCTTTGTGCTTTGGAACTTATCCTTTGATTTCAGGGGACACAGACTTGGCACATCTGACATATAGCAGGTTGGGAGTTATATTTCTCCTCCAATATTTTGGGGGTTGCACTGAAATCATTGGAAAGAGAGGCTTTCAAACTCCAAGTGATCATACAGACGGGACCAACAACTAGGTTGATCTTCTAAAGGGAGTTCATAACTGCTAAACCCCAACATGACTCCTACCCAAGACCCATTAGATTAGCTCTCTGGAAAAGGCCCCTGACTGCTGTCTGTTCCTTACTAACCCTTCTCAGCTCAATGCAGATAGACCAAAACTACGTCCATCCCCACTTTATACAGTTAGGGATAACTCTTCAGAGGGGAAGAGCATAGGCAGCTAAGTTAGATAGACACTAATATACAGCCAGAGAGGGACTGGGCTCTCGAGCAAGTCAGTGGAAGGGTGCAGACATCAGAATTGTGGCTGGAGTCGCATTTGAAAGAAAGCAAGGCCTCAAGATAGTCATGTGGCCTTCCTTGCACACTTCCCTAAGGGAGCAGCAGAACTGTACAGTAATTCGTACCTCAGTCCATTAACTCAAGATAGGCATCAGACACCTGAGCAGGTGAACAGATCACCTGGACCTGTTCTTGCCCCAAAATGCTTCTGTTTTGTTTTGGTTTGGTTTGCTTTTGGTTTTTTGAGACAGTCTTGCTTTGTAGGTCAGGCTGGTCCTGAACTCTCCATGTAGTCCAGGTTGGCCTCAAACTCTTGACGATCCTCTTTCTCAGCCTCCCAAGTGCTGGGATTACAGATGTGCATCACCACACCTGGCTTAATGTTTCTGCTTTAGAAGTCATAGATGAGCCAAAGTTAATAATCAAACTAGTTGATTATAGTTTGATCCAGGTCCTACCCACATTGTGACTTTGCTGTATAAATTATCTCTGACAAAAGGCCTTAGTGGCCACCCACTCAGGGACCCCTCTTGTCCCACAGAAGCTATTCCTATTCACCAATAAACCTTTCCTACTCTTAAAAAAATAAAATAAAACTTGAAGCATTTGTAGGTAAATGGATGCACTTTCGGAGCATGTTCAGTCAAATAAATTAGACACACAAGTTTAAATATGGCACAGTTTCTCTTATATGAGAAACCCAAACTATAAACAGAGAGCAAAACGTAGTATACATAATAGGAAGGAGGAGGATCTTTCTCAAATGGGAAGGGGCGTAAGAGATGGAGGGGTAAAGAAAAGAAGGGGAAAGGACTTTTAAAAAGAGAGTTGGAGAGCCGGGGATTTAGCTCAGTGGTTCCGCCACCTGCCTCACAAGCACAAAGTCCTGAGTTCAATCCCTGGTACCTACCCCTCAAAAGAGAGGGAGAATTGGAAAAATTGCAAATAGAGATTTTTTCAAATGGGATGGGAGTCAAGAGCTGGAGGGAGCTGAGAGGGATGGGAGGGGAAGGGGACAAAAAAGAATTAAGATGTGTCATAAACATGTACGAATTCCCCACAATAAATGTAATCGTTATGCACTGCATACGCATACTAATAAAAATATATAATTAATTAAAAAGGAGAAAAACGAGGAAGAAACTTGCACCAAAATTCCCTTAGATGTGCGCGTTTGTCTCATTGGCTAGCATTTAGTCACGTGTCAAAATGTAAACCAATCACTGTCAAACGAATAAAGATTCGCGTCTGAGATGGGAACCAGGTGTTTCCATGAAAACCTGTGCCCCAGGGGGTGAACACCAGAACAAACTTAGAGCCCACCCAGTGAGAGGAAGGAAGGGAGCCGGGCAGCATCCTGCCAGGGTACCCTGAGGTTCCACAGATGAACTGAACCAACCACAGATGGAAAATATTTTTTAAAAAGTATCTCTGTATTAAGTATATACAGGCTTTTTTTCTTGTTATTATTCTCTAAACAATAGCGTTTAACAACCATTTACATAGCGTTTACAATGTATTAGGCATTATAAGTAATCGACAGCTGACGTGAAGTCTGAGGGAGGATGTGTGGACATTATATGCAAATGCCGTGTGAGAAACCAGAATGTCTGTGGGTTTTGCTTATTCCCAGGTGTCCGGAACCTGTCCCCTGGGGAATCTAGGGGGCTGACAACAACAGAAAGCTTTCGTTACAGTGTTCGTAGTTAGGTAAAGAGCTCAATTCACTGGGAAAACCTGGTGTCTCACTCATGATGGTGGAAAGCATGCTCTGGGGCTGGGAGTGTAGCTCAGTGGTACAGCGGTGGCCCGGATGCATGAGGAGCTGGGTTCACTCCACAGCATGGCAAAAACACAAAGAAAGAGAAAGAGAGAGACAGATTCAGAGAGAAAGAGAGACAGAGAAGAGAAAGACAGTGAGAGAGAGTCAACACTCTGTTCATTGTTTTTCAAGGGCATGATTTTCTTTCACTTCTTTTGACACCTGTTTTCTTGCAGCTTGAAGTGGCCATGCAACCAAGGGCTTCTAAAACGAGTTAGTTGATGTAAAGAATTTAAAATAGAGCTTGACACCGGGTAAATCTCACATATGTGTTTGTTGCTGTTACTCTTATTTTAATTTCTTCCCTGGTATAAGACTCTTTTCCATGTGTTCCCTTCCTTCCGGTTTAATTCGTTGGTATGAAGACCTGAGATGTGAGTCTGTGGCAGCCATTTTGTGACCATGAGATTCTGGGTTCAATGTTCAGCTCCACAAAAATAAAATGACAAGGGGGACCATGAGGCCCACGCGCGGAGGTAATAGCTCTTCAAGTCTGCAGTAAAAATGGCCTCCAATAAAACTACATTGCAAAAAATGGGAAAGAAACAAAATGGAAACAGCAAAAAAGTTGAGGAAGCAGAGCCTGAAGAATTTGTGGTAGAAAAAGTACTGGACCGTCGTGTTGTGAATGGGAAGGTGGAGTATTTTCTGAAGTGGAAGGGATTTACAGATGCTGACAATACATGGGAACCTGAAGAAAATTTAGATTGTCCAGAATTAATTGAAGCATTTCTTAATTCTCAAAAAGCTGGTAAAGAAAAAGATGGTACAAAAAGAAAATCTCTATCTGACAGTGAATCTGATGATAGCAAATCAAAGAAGAAAAGAGATGCTGCTGACAAACCTAGAGGATTTGCTAGAGGTCTTGATCCTGAACGAATAATTGGTGCCACAGACAGTAGTGGAGAATTGATGTTTCTCATGAAATGGAAAGATTCAGATGAGGCTGACTTGGTGCTGGCAAAAGAGGCAAATATGAAATGTCCTCAAATTGTAATTGCTTTTTATGAAGAGAGACTAACTTGGCATTCTTGTCCAGAAGATGAAGCTCAATAACTTACATCATTTTTATATATATTTATATATATATATAATATGGGTCTTGGTTTTTTATTTACTCGTGTGGAAAAAAATGCATTCTAATGAAAATCAAGTTTACTATGTTGATTTTGAAAGTAGTATTTGGGGAAGTTGTTGGGATTTGTTTGTTTTGCATCAATAGCACTGGTTACTTTGAACAAATAAAAAGCTTTCGGTAGTTGCTTCCTTTATCAGAAAATAGCATTGATAGCCTGATATGTTTCCTCTACTTTTCTAAATATTGGGGAAATTATCTATAGTCAAACAACTCATTTTTAGCTCACATGCTTAAGGGCCATTCTGAGTTGTGTATAAATAAAATACTTATGTAAAAAAATAATAATAAATAAAATAAAATGACAAGTTTATATGATTCAACCTAATAAATGGAAACCCCTTTCCATAGGCCACATGACCTGAACAGGTGACCCTTCCACTTGGCCAGTGAAAGCATTCCATTCCCTCAATGTTGGCAATCAGAGGGAATGGGTTGGCCATGTGACCTCAGCCAATCAGAGCCCTTCCCTGGGATTTTTCTCTTAGGATTACAGATTCTGCCCTTTGACCTCTGAGCTATGGAAGGCCTGAGTCTGTCTCTAATAAATGACCCATTTTCCTTACCATATGCAGTGGAAAGAGAAGAATCTAAGCTGAGAGGAGCAGAGAAGAGAAACACATGGGAGGGGGGTCTTGGAGGGGCTCAGTCTGTTCCTGGTCCCAAAGGCCTGCTTCTTTGGCTTTATCCTTAATTCTGTCTCTTTCTCAGCCCTATGAAGAGGTGGGGGGGACATTACCCCCCCTTTTTTGCCTAATTTATTGTGCTGAGTTTCTGTCACTTGCCACCAAAAGACTCTCAAACTCCCCCTGACCCTCCAGCTAGGATGGGCATCCCCTCTGGGATCCCAAAGTCTGCTTGGTGCCCCTGAAGGACCCCATTGTCTATCTGAGTTCCAGGAGGGCAGGGACTGGATCTTCCCTGGTCACCGCTGTGTCCCCAACACCCAGCACTGGGCCAGCACAATGACCAAGCACCCTGCTTGGGTGCTGCTGTTCTCACCCAGGGTGTCTGTTCCTTAGGTTTGAAGCCCTTGCTTCTGAAAGGTAATTGTGGCACTGGCATGGATAGATCCCTCCCTATGAAATGACAGGCTGGGGCTATAGAAGAGGAAAGGTGGGTGGGGCCATATAAGGGCTTGGATAGGGACCATGTGGGCCCCAAATATGGGCTGAATAGATAGCAAGTTCACAGCAATTCCTAATTTGCCTCCCTGGTCCTGGGGATGGAACCCAGGGCCTCATCCATGAGAGGCAAGTGCACTACCACTGGGTCACCTCCCCTCTTTTTAAATTTGGAAACAGGTGCCCACTAAGGTGCACAGGCTGGGCTCTAACTCGCAATCCTCCTGACTCAGCCTCCCAAGTAGCTGGGATAACAGGTGTGTACCACTGCACCAAGCCTCATTTTGCTTTGAAAGTAAGCACATCCCATCCCAAAGCTGGAGTGTCCACGGATGTCAGACCCCATACTCACCTCACTGAAAACCACCAGCCTCTCATAGCTCTGAAGAATTGACGTGCTAACTCTGGACTACAGGCCACCAGGTTCTGTGGAAGCTACTACTTTCTTGCTTCTCTTACCACACATCCTCTCCCTCGCCCCATCACTTCCGTCCAGATGCACTACCTGCAGCACACCAAGTGCACCTCTGCCTCCGGGCCTTTGCACAAGCTGTTGTCTCTGCTTGGATTCCTTCGTCTTATCCCAGATCAGACATCTTCAGCGCCAACTTCATGCTCCTCGACCCCTTGCCCAGGTGGAGTCCATCACACCCTGTGCTATCATCGTCCCTTCATTCCTCACATGGCATTAATTTACCATTACTTCTTCTTCTCCTAGTACTGGAGATTGAACCCAGGACTTTCGCACTAAACTACATCTCAGCCCTGATTGATGGATTGAGAGGTCTCACTAAATCACTTAAACTACTTCTGCTGAGTTCAAATTCACAACCCTCCTGCCTCAGCCTCACAGAGTGCTGGGATTACAGGTGTGTGCCACCATGCCTCTGCCACTCATTATTTACTCGCTTTGCTTATTAATTTGCTTCCTCTCCCCTCTAAAATAAAAGCTCCAGGGAGCAGGGCTTTCTTGTGTTTACTTTGTTTTGTTCATTGCTATAGCCCCAGCATTGGGCCGGGCATATGGGCCATGTCCAATAAAGCCTCATTGAAGGCAGGTGTGGTGGTGCACAACTGTAATCCTAGCACGCGGAAGGCTGAGGCAGGAGGATCTCTGTAAGTTCCAGGCCAGCCTGGGCCTCACAGTGAGTTCAAGGCCAGCCTGAACTGCATAGTGAGACCCTGTCTCAAAAAATCAACTAAGCAAAGCTTCATTGAGTGTCTCAGAGATGATGGTTAGGTGGGTGGGATTTGGAGGTAGCCCAGCTACCCAGTCATGACCGCCACTTACTGACTTGCGTGATGCCAGGCAGGCTCCTTAACTAGTCTGAGCGCCAATTTCCTCATCTAGAAAGTTGGGTGCACACACCACACACGTATGCAGCAGCCTTTAAATGCCATTGTGCTGACTGTGGGAGTCGCTCCACTGCACAAGTGCTGTGCCACGGGCACTGGGCGGCAGGCTCCTGATTCACCCATCAGGGAGGGTTCGCAAGTGCAGTGTATGGCTGGTGGGAGGCACGCAGGACCCAGGCATCATCACGAGTGACACGGATGAGTGTGGCTGGGCCACTGGGTGAGGAAGCATCCTGGCCTGTGATTCTTTGGCGCTGCTGTCCTTGCTGCCTCCCACCCTGTCTGCCCAGATCCATCCTCCTCCCTCCTGCTCTGTTTCTATTTCTGTCTTTCTCTCCTCCTCCCCGGGCCTCAGGGGGCCCCTGGCTGGCTTGAAGCCTAAGCCTCCTTCCTTCTTCCCGGGGATCAGGATCAGGAAGGAGTTTTCGCTGCAGGGCCCTGCAAAGGCTGGGATGCCCAGAGCCCCTCCCCCCACCACACACACACCAGCTGTCCTTCCCAGGCTCAGCCCCTCCCCACAGCACCCCAATTCACCGAGGCTCCCTCAGGCTCCAATGCAGTGACCAGAGCTCTCTCTCCCCTGCCCGCCCTCATAAGACTGCCCTTGGGCACACTCAGCCAAGGTCACAGGGCCACCCCCAGCCTCAGATGCAGACCACAGAGGCCAACTGCCAGCCCCAGTATTTAAGGATCGGGGCAAGGGAGGGAGACCCTGGACAAATGACTTCCCCTCTCTCTGGTTCAGATGCCTGTCTATAAAATGGGACCAAAGATATTGACCTCACACAACAGTGGGGTGTGAGAGAGTGGGGTAACCACTCGGTGACTGCTCCTCAGAGTGAGCTCAGGTTAAGAGGACAGACTCAGAAGCCACCTGCCTTTTTAAATTTTTACTTATTTATTCTTGCGATGAAAATTTGGCCATGTTGCCCAGGCTAGCGTCAAACTTCTAGACTCAAGGGATCTTCCTGCCTCAGCCTCCTGAGTTGCCAGGACTACAGGTGCACCCACCATGCCCAGCTCTGCCTGACTTTTTAAATCCTAATTTTTCCACTTCTGGCTATCTTATCATGGGCAAATTATTTAACTTTTCTAGACGTAAAACTCCTTGCCTGTAAAATGGGGTAACAGTACCCGCGTCCTGGGGTTCTTGCAAGACTTAAGGGCTTAGCACATCGTAGGCACCTGCGATAGCTATAATTATGGATTTATTTTTATTATTCCCCACTCCACTTCTGTGCGAACACAGGAGCCGCCTGTCTGCCAGTCTCCCAGCCAGTTAGGCATCCCTCCTTCGGTCTGACTTGGGTCCCTTATGCAACAACCTAGGTGCCCTCCCCCAAGACACACGGATACACGCATGGGTCGGCAGAGCGGCCTAGGACACAGAAAAAAGTTTAATTCTGCTGCGGCGGAGGGTCCCGGCTCAGGTAGGGAGGGGGATTTGGTTTTGGATTCTGTTCGTGTGGGATTCATTGGGGGAACGAGGAAGGCATAGGAGTCTGGTCCATCCTGTGGGACCTGCCCGGGAGAGCGGGGAGTTGGGAGAAGAGATCTGGAGAGACGGGAAGACTGGGCCGAACCCGGGAGGGCACGGGAGGCAGACGACAAGGGGGCACACAAAGGAGAGACAAGTGGGGCCAGACCGAGACGTGAGACAGACAACAGAGGGCGAGACGGACACCGACGAGGGGGAAGGAGAAAGGAAGACCCCAAGCCAGAGCCGACGGGACCGGGGAGGTGGGGGGTGAGGTGGGGCTTTGGAGGCCGCCGCGGGACAGAATAGGATCTAGTCCAGCCAGATACAAGAAATGGGCCCCTCGCCCCTATCCCGGGACCCGGGCTGGGGGAGAGGGCTCGTGTCTCAGTGCTGCAGTGTCGAGGGGGGCCCTGCCCCTCCCCGCGCTTCGCTGTGTAAGGCACCGGCTCCAGCGAGGTCCGCGAGCGC